ATAAAAGAGCGTCGCCGGGTGAATATGGCTCACTCGAGGTGCTCAACTGAGGAAGATCCGGTTCGATGCGAGATGAAGACGCCACATCGAGAAACGGAGCAACTGCGGACCATCGACAAGGATCGTCGGCTCTGATAAAGACGAAGACGTCGAAACGTTAGCCCAGTAAACGTCTCACATCAACATCGTGTAAGCTCAACAGTACAAATAAATGTCTTCTGTGATAATTGAGAAGAGTACGGACCAAGTAACGGTATCATTGACGCTTACGCGTCACGTTACTTATACCAACAGTGGTTAAAGATAGTTGGCACAGTGATATCTATTTAGGCGCTAAGCTGAGCACCGAAATGTGATATACAGCATGGTCCTATTCACATAGCAAAGTCTTCCATGATGAGATGGCGTTGGACATTTTTATCCGGAACACCAGGTATGGATGAAGCTCCGCCAAAGAATAGCCTGGCAAAATGACTATGGCTATGACCTTGCCAAAAACAGTTTATGTAAGGCGTTATAACAAATTAGTACCCCTTAAGCAAGTGAAGTTTATTGCGGATTTATGGTCCGTGAGAGGGGAGAATAGAATTTATTGGTAACCCATTAAAGTTATTTGAAGGTAAACAAAGAATCTCAGGCCATAAGATAAGTAGTCCATAAAGTTCGTTCTAGCTTCTTCAAAAGTTGAGCCGATAAATCTAAGTTTTCGCCGTTTACCAATTAACTATAGAAAACAGCCTATTGTAGCGCGTGTAATCACGTGGACACTGCACCAGTCCGCTTCGCTGGGACCTAAATTTCATGATGTAAGGATAATCTTAGTCTGATTATTTAGTTTCATTGTGCTTCAGTTCAGCTTTTCGATAATAACTCGTAGCTTAAAAAACAATAAAAGCCTAATTTTATTAGTAGCACTACCAATCGAGCGAGTTAATCCGACTATCCGTCAATACACAAAATCCTTGGTTGCAATCTTGCTAGATAGACACCTTTAAAAGAGCAACAAAAGGTTAATTTGATATAAAGTAGAAGAAACCATTGTCACAGACCATATCATGGTTTTGATAAAGCTGATACACTTGTCCTAATATTGGTATGAAATACCCCATTTATACACTAGTGTATTCCCTTTTTTTAACTACACGACATCTTATGTTGGTGGATTCGAGCACTCCTTGAATTTGATTCCTTTACTTGGACTCGTTTCGACTTTATTCGTTCCATTTCTATTCCATGAATGCCATAAAATTTTCTATTTGTGTTCGAGCTTGCTTGAGAACTTCGGCCTTCTTCGTGAATGCCATTGAATACTGGTTGAGCTGATTCTGTCTGAAATCCTAGGAAAGTTGTACTGGGGCGCCCCACATCTTCATCATAAGCGGTCGCCAACGTTTGTTGATTGGATGCAATTAGCTGGGCTCAGACAAGTCTGCAACCAATTTCCCGACTTTCGAGAAGTCTGACGACAACGTCCCTACCCTGGAGAGATGGAGGTTTAATGGCGTTGGTGTAGAGTCGAGCCGGAGCTTTGCTGAATAGCACTACCACTGCCGTTCCGGCACCTTGGAATGTATAATTTTAAATAGAAGCTACTTTAGTGGCTTCATAAATACATTTGATTGACAGTTCAGACTCGACCTGTTACATCGCCCTCAATGCGCTATTCTGCTAATCACACGAATAGCATCTAACACAGAAATTTCCACCATCCTGAAACAACGCTTTTCCCGAAGTGATAAACTTCCACCCGACATATAAAGGCTGGCATTTCTTGCAATGCAGAACTGGAAAGCCCTAGGACAAACTTCTTTATTCCAAGAAAAACCAGGTTTGTCCCCTATTTAGCGCCTAGTTCAGTAAGAGAGAACAATAGCTCTCTATCACTCTCGTGATGACGCCTTATTTCAGTTTTATGCTACGTGGAGAACGTCTAATTTTTCACTGCGCTCACTGTGACATTGAATGATGTCACGTCGGCCACTCCAGCACTTTTTATTCGGCCCTGCCCCCATTTCCTGTGTTTTCTCTTCTATAAATCGCTTTTTTAAGAGTTTTGAAAGAATTTCTTTCGTCCACTATGCAATCATACTCCCATCAGCAATTAATGAAGCTGTTTATGTCCTGCAAGGAGTGCTTGGAGTACTACTATGTTTACCTTTCAGTTTTGATATCCTCTCTTTCAAGCAGCACCCGAAAATCATGGTAGCTATTGAAAATTAGAAAAGGACGAATTGCTGAAAAAGTGCTGCGTGGAACTAACACCTACGCGACGACGTGACCTCTACGGGAGTCATACGACTCAAAAATGACAGTCTCTTTTGATTTCAAACCATCATATCTCATCTAACAATGAATCTTACTGCTTGCAACAAGAGTTTTTAGAATCTAAAATTCTTTTACTGAACATTAGTAGAGGTCCTTTTGTTCTATGGCAATGAAATTCTTATTTTCTGCAGCTCATGACATGTTCCCTTTTCACCTCATTGCTTCAAGGCCGATGGTATGCGCAATTTATCTTTATATTTAGGAATTTTAAAAATTTGAATTTCATTGTGCAACTTTTTATATACTGCCCATTATTTTCTCATTCATGGGAGGGTATTGTCTGAAATGCGATAATGACGCTGAGCTATTGGCAAAACTTGGACCCCAGGCCACATTCAAACACGCGATTACCTTTTCCGGGGTTCACGTGTTACCCATGACACCACTAGGGCACTTGCTTTGCCTTTCTCTCACCCTACTTTTTAGCCAAATGGTGACATCAACAATCATCTCTCAACGGAAATGCTCCGGTGAGCGCAAATCGATCCACGGAAAGGGAAATCACGGTTCGAACCTGGCTTAAGGTCCAAGTTCTGTAAATGACTCAACATAAATTTCACTACCGTTTTCTTGAAGGTTTCAATTCATAGACATATTTTAAATAGAGACGCATGTAGCGCAGCGGTCTGAGGCACCCTGCAACATACACGCGTGATCGATCTCACGCCCATGGCACACCAAGCCTTCCATCCCTCCGAGATCGGCAAATTGGTACCAGATTTGTCAGGGAGGATAGCAGCACTGGCTTGATACATCGGTGGGCCACCGGGACTCATTGTAAAGGCCCGATATGCATTCAATCACCTTCAAACGATGCTTAATGAAGTCGAATGCATGGCGCATCCCTCAGGGATTGATCAACGCCGAGAGCTTTATCCTTTATCTTTTTATGATGGTGTAGTAGTAACTCATAGTTGAGCAACTAACCATGCATATGGCCCACAGTACAATAGAACTATGATTATAACCTATTAGGCTTTCCTGAAAATAATAGAGGATAAAAGGATAAAGCTCTCGGCGTTGATCAATCCCTTAGGGATGCGCTATGCACTCGACTTCATTAAGCATCGTTTGAAGGTGATTGAATGTATATCTGGCCTTTTATCTAGCGTTTTATTTTGAATTGGAGGGACATTATATATAGTAAAGTGTATATATGGTCAGTACGATCGGTCAAAGTCACTTCTATAAATCTACAAAGTTCTGAACCCCCGAAACACTCTTATGATTGAGAACTTACGGTCAGTTATCAAAAAGTCAGCATAGTCGTAAAAGGGTTGAAAATAGTCGCTCATCTCAAGCACAGTTTGAACATCTTATTAATAAACGTTTCAAAATCCAGAAATCTGCACATGACAGTGACGTATTTAAGTTGAAGGATTGAATGAGAGAGTAAATCTAAGCTGTCATATTTTGAATCAAATATTCGGCGTCGAGACTTGGACTTCTTACCTGCACCCTATAACTTCCTTCTGTGCTGACCTTCGGGAAGCGGTAAGATTTTCACTATTAGCCGCCGTATTTTTCTTTAGTAAACGCCATGCTATGACTAACTGTTAGGAAATCCACCATCTTCTCCAGAGTAAAATCTCATAGAAAAATCTGGAAATCCAAGCGACATTTTGCGCTGTGTGAAAAAGCATGGAATACTTTAATTTTCGCCAACTTCTAGGCGACTATGACAAACTGTTCAAGTCTGATTCGGAACTTAATGGCAAGACAGAAACGAAAATACGTAGGAAAACAGAAAAGAACATTGAATTCAGTACTGTAAGATAATGAATACATGAATGGATAAAATGATTAGAATTCGAGAACTAGTACAAGTTCACCTCGATGAGTCGAAAACAAAGAAAAAGTTCAGATTGATCGTATTTCTGTTTTAGAAACTAGAACAATATGGAAACAGAACAGTGCAGGCAAAATACCAGGAATGAAGAAATGCACATAATTGGGGCTACCGTATTCTTAGTGTAGCACGGCATACAACTAATAACTACAACTTAAGTCAGAAAAAGTTGTATAGGGATTCAATAGGACATAAACATTACACCAGACCAAAAATTCTCGGATATCGCTAACGCGGTGATCATTTAAGTAAGAATCTTGATAACGTCAATGAAATAACAGTTAAATGTGACAAGAGATCACGATAAGAAAGTGAGAAAGGTTTCGTGTCATAAGTACAAAGTGCCTACACCCTTCAATGGATATGTTTAGCAGCAATACATTAAAAAAAACATAAAGAGGCTAATTTTTCGCAGTATTTGTAATCATTGATATCTCGAACTATACATTTAAAAAAAACTATGTCTAGTTTTAAAAAATCACTTACGTAGAGAAAGTTAAACAGAGAAATTATAAAAGACAGAGCTCATTGTAAGTATTTCAACAACTAATCAAATGTGGAAGTTCAAAGTAATAAAGAATACATAAATCACAGATATGCTCATGTTTAAAAAACCAACGGGATAACCCGATGGGATTGCGTTACTTGCAATAGCTGCATCGGGAGCAGGATCCGCAAAAAATGGGTTGAGCCAACAATCACGGTTGACAAAAAATGGCGCCAACGATCGCAATTGGTCGGTTGCATCCACGGCGACCAGTGACCAATCACAAGCGAGATTTGGAGCTAGAGACGTCGCATTCGTTAGTTTTTCAACATCCACAGATCAAACGTAAACAGGTGTTAATTTATGGGCTTTCTCGAATTCACTCCATCGTGCATCATCGCTTTCATGTGTTAGGAAACGTTCACCCACCAATCGCTCCAGTAATCGTAAATCTGACCACAGCTCATAGCCCTGGAACGGTAAAGACGCATAGATAATGTAGCATTGATAAAGAAGAAGTTCTAGAAATAAACTACATTGCTATATAACACTTTCCTTTTGGACGTGGAATTTGTTTTCTGAGGGTTACTCTAAACATTTTGCTAATCGTAACAATGCAACAGAACATGGAAATTTCACAAAACAGGCTAGAAACAAATGGGCAGCCCATAAGGTGAGTATATACAAAACTAAGAATTATAACGAAAATCATGTATGCACTACAAGGCTAAGCGAATGACAAATGTGTGGTTAAGACAAGCGGCAGCGCAAAACTCACAAATGGAGCAAATAATTTGTGAGCAATCGATACTAGCCAATCGATATGCATCAAATCCAAAGGAGACGCGTCTTAAGATAGTCACATTTCTGCATCGCTAGGCAACAAATATAATCTAATCGATATGCAGTAATTATTGGGACCGATTTTCTACAAACCTCGGAATTGATCAACGAGTTGCTGTTTTCCTGATAAGCTTACATGACGTCGTTATTATACTATTTCAAGTAATCCAGAAATGAACCACAGGGAAGAATGCCCCATCATTAAGCATGATCCATCCATGATCTAATCCGAGAATTCAGACTGATATTTTAAAGTGAGAGGGGTACATTACGCTTCCAGGTGAACTCTGTGCGATTGATCTCCAAGTAGAAGGAAGTCTAAATGGAAAACTGAGAGAGAGCGGTGAATGTGTGAACAGGTTTTTTATTCCAATGCGATTGGAAATTAGGTTTTTCAGGTTTTCTGTTAAGGTTGATGAGTTGTTTAGCTTACGGGATGGCAGTCGACTTGATATTCCCAGATTATGGAGAGGGCGAACCACACCGAAACGTCAGCTACTATTAGGAAGTAGTATCATAAACATTACTTGTCAAAAAATGGTGACTTATCCATATGCACTAAATCTTAGGATACTAGTCTTGAGATGATCGTTTACCTGCATCCAGATATGCGACAACGCCTTCGACACCGTAAATCGCTTATTCATTTTTACTTGCAGTAATCCGTTGATGAATTGGATGGCTGAAAAAATTAACTGGACTATAAGGTAGACTTTGTTCCAACTATGACCAAAAAAGATTATTTACCATATAATGGTCGACATGAATTTATTTCAACTCATAGAAGACTTGAAATAATCGTGTGCCTTTCAGTTTTGGATAAAAGTATTTCAGCTCATAATGAACTTCATCAATTGAAATTTGAACAGTTTGAATATTGAACAAGTTTTGAACTATAGTAACCTTTTAGAAGAATAACATATTCAGTTAGTAAAACAGAACAAAACCTATTTTATAACCCTGTGAAGCCCCTAATCCTTCAAGTAGTCCAGTTATTAGGAAACCAGCGCCAACTACTGCATGTTAAAGAAAAATAATAATGTCATATACTGTTAGTACTAAGTTTCTTAAGCTTGGATAAGCAATAGCAACAATAATAAAGGAGAGGAAAGAAAGAAGAAAACTGGTAGGAATGAGAGATTCGACGTAAGAACTGTGCCCAGTCTTCACTGCTTACCAACATCTCCTATTTCGTTCCATGGATTGGGAGGATACATAAATTCTGCGTTTTGAATTTGATCATGAATATCTTCGTCCTCATTGAAAGGAAAAGTGCCGGATAGACTGGAATAGTTAATCTCGTTAACCCTGCCAAATATTTGAAAATACTCATTTACAATGCAGTCACTTTTTATTTGCTGCCCACTCCTTTTTCATGACAGAGTATTAGCGGGTTCGACCCCTAACTCAGACACCTGCTGTCCGCAGTTCTGCAAATATCTCAGCATCATTGAGGCAATATTTATTTAGTTTCCTATATGATTGACCTGACACAAGGTTGTTAATAATTTTCATTCTGCTAGCGTTTCGAAATCTTCGCCTTTATCAGAACCGGATTGATCCGAGTAGATGGTCCACAGGTGTTCGTTGTTGTATAGAGTCGAATCCAGTGGAAGAAGGATCGCTCGAGTTATATTGTTTGCCACGCTACGTGCCACCAAATAAAGTACTCTACAGAACGCACAGCCCGCCCGAAGTAGATCATACAGGAGACGGCTATCGATTAACACCCACTGGGGCACCGCTGAGCGAGATTCTTCATTCGAGCGCTGATCCCTCCAGTGGATTCAGCTCTGCGGTAACAAGTGCCTGTGGACCATCGACTGGAATCAGTCTGGCTTTGAAGAAGGCGAAGGCGCCCAAAGGTTATCCAAATAATGGTTTTTTTTTACAAAGCTCGTATCAAGTGAATCATGTAGAAAATTATTGATTATTGCTGCCGAGGTCTAATGAAAGTCCGTTTTCAAAATATTTATTTATTAATATATACCTTTCTACTTACTGCTCATTATTTTTTCTTTCACGAGTGTTATGTGAAAAATAACTGCAATGATGCTGAAATATTTCAAAAGTCAGACCCCAGGCCAGATTCGAACCTGGGTTACCCTTTCCAAGGGCTCACATTGTTACCCACTACATTGCCGAGGTCACTGCTTTGTCTTCCTCTCAACCAATTTTTATCCATTGTGGCTGCATTTGTTTATTTACCCAACTGTTTTTTTATTGCACACTCCGCCTTCGCATATTGTATGATATGAATTCCAGTACATTCATTCGAATCACTCCCTCGCATCCATCATTCACAAAGGTCGTCAAATTTTGCGTGTGGATTTGGCTGCTGCTCGACGATTTTGCGTTCATCACGAATGTTGTTGAATTCTGGTCGAGTAAATTCTCTCTCGAATCCTGGGATAGCTCTACTAGAGTGGTCCCATGTGCTTATGGTTAGCAGTGACCGCTCTTTGTGAAGTGGACTTTTCCTCTGGCAAGTTTACCACCAATTTGTCAAGCACGGAAGGAGGATGAGGCTTAGTTAATCCTCTGGGTTATCGAGTCTGCGACAATGGGTGTTTTGCCGGGCTCCTCTAACTATTGTACTGCACGTGCCCATAACAATAATATTTGTAATACGGAGAAGATCCAGATGTCGGAATTCCTCCGTAGTTTTTAACTAGCATCCAGGTAAGGATATTAACCAATAGATTTAACTTAAAGAATGTTCAACTATTTAAGCTACTTACCTTACATAGACTATGACACCGACACTCCACATATCGAGTGATCGATTGAAGCCTTTATTCCGAAGCACTTCCGGAGCCAAATAAGCCGGTGTGCCCACGACTGAGCGCCGGAACGACTTCTCCCCGATGATACGCGCAAATCCGAAATCACACAGTTTCACCTGAAGAAGATTGCATACATATTAGATTTTTCCTTAGATTTATATCACTTATATCAATATATATATTTATATACTCACTTATACTATATATATACATATATATACATATATATACATATATATATATATATATACCGCCGATAGCGCCTATAAAACAGGGCTGAGAAAAGGCTAACGAAAGGCACACATGGTGTGGTGGTGAACATAATAGCTCCCGGGAAGAGTAATAGCGACGTTCGATTGCCGCCGCAGACATCTGCGGTCCGAAGCTTTGAAAATGTCTTAGCATCATTTTAGTCGTATTTCACACCATACCCTACCATGAAAAAAGAACAGGCAGTAGATGAAAGCATACATTTAAATTTATATAAAAAGTGCTGGCGATTCCATACTCAGCTTCGATTGCCTTGTTTTCAATATAATTACTCGTCAAAGTAAGAAATTTTTTCGTGCACTAAAGAACCTATAACAGTTCGGAGGAGTTTTTCAAAAGCTTATTGAAGCAGAAACGAAAATCCTTCTTTTAACTGATCAAAAATAGGACTTATAATTACATTAGATATGACCTGCACTGAGAAAATGAAGAGAGAAAACAGAAATAACCATCGTGAAAAAGAAAAGCACATGATGGATGAAATACGTCAAATGCATCGCTTTCTTTCTCAGCAATCATATCACCATGCTCTTCCACGCTCTGAAGAAGCCGATTCTGCCGAAACGTCAGCTACGGTTGCGTTGCGTTGCGTTGCGTTGTGTGTGTGTGTGTGTGTGTGTGTGTGTTATTGTATGGAAGTAAACGTACGCTGCTTAACAACCTCGCGACTGCTGAGAAAGAAAACGACCCATTCATAATCCAATGCCGAGGTTAATAGAAAGTCGATCCTGGGAAATACATTAAAATTTAAACCAATCGAGAAAAGATCCGAATAGAACTTAAAACGATTGAAATGTAATACAATGAAAAAATAATATCAACATTACTGTGACAACATTCTAGTGGAGTTTAACAGTCACAGGACATAAGAAATCTTTTGAAAAGCTTCCAAGAAGTATTGAGTAACCACGAGTAATTGGAATGACTCAAAAGCGTATTCATGAAACTAAACACAAGAAAATCAATACGTATCAAAACCATGTAGCGGATCAATCAGTAGTATCTATGAAAACGCAGTTTGTTTGTTCAACGAAGAAATCGCACTTAATAGGATTTCATCTCCTCTTAACCATTTCTGATTCAAAATGTTTAACATTCTGACTCAGACTTAAATTTAGAATTCTGGGCTCTGAGTTTTACAAATAATCCGGCATCACTATGGTTATCCTTCACAAGATATCAGGATCCACCACTCCCTGGTATCAAACTAGTCGCATAGTGGCAAATCTCTCTGATCCGGAAGGGTGACGACTGCCTGTGGTGGTGACAACTTGGGGCAGATTTTGGCCAAGCTAACCTCGGGACTCCAGGGAGAAAGTGACTAAACCAGCTAAACTCCGAAAAATGGAGGATATGCTGGGACCTGCACAACCAGTGAGGACGGTGCGTTCAAGTTTCCACTACCTTGCCATGAAAAATAACAAGTAGTGAATAAGAAGTTGTATATTCAGAACATTTAGCTAAAAGTTTCAGTTTTAACAGAAAGTGTTGCATACTGCCATATCGTTATTTTCATACAGTTTCCCAGTTATGATACGAACGACTGTAAAGAATATGACAGAACTTTGTGCTACAGAGAACTAGGATCATCGGAGTACTGAGGAGGAAGGAAAATCATCTAAGAAAAAGAGGAATACCTGCGGGAAATCCGAGTTCGATGTCAAAAGGATGTTCTCTGGTTTCAAATCGCAGTGGACGATATTTTGATTATGAAGGTAACGAAGAGCGACAAGAATCTGAAACACAGGTGAAACGTGTGAGCTTGCAGTAAAATTAAGATTAAAATGCAAGAGAAAATCATGTAGTGAGTTAGCTGAACCGTAAAAGATTGATGTTCACTAAGAAACTGAAACTGCGGAAAAGTTGGTTAAATAGGTTTTTCAAAACTACAGAAGAATAAATTGGACCATGTGTAGCGGACCAGTCTAAGGGTGTCGCGGTAGGCCCTCCATCCTTTTGTTGAAGTCGGAGTACTCGTACATAAATTAGTAGATTAGATAAACGCAATTAATTGATACTACAAATGGAAATCAACGCACGACATATCCCCTTAGAATCGATCAAATACGCTTTATCCTTCGTTCGAAGAATTTGGGAAAAAAGCAATGTCATTGTCGAATACTTTAAAATCAAACGAACATTTAAAAGATTTCAAGAAAAACGTGGCAGATCACCACGAGAAATTCTCAAACAAAATGATAAAACCAACCTGAGCTACAAGAAACTGCGTAATGCGTTCACTGAGTCGACCTTTTTCACTTGACAATATCATCTCCAACATATCACCCTGAAGCACTCCATAAAAACTAAGTCATAGGAAGTAGGGAAATTAAAATAAAAGCAACATTCATTAAACAAATGTTTATTTAGATGGACCATCGTCGTTTTTCATTCCTAGGTCTCCCCACGGAGCGACCGTCCCATATGGATCCGTGGCAGCTTTCCAAATACGGTTCAAATTTGGCAACGGTGGAGTAATGAAGGGCTTGAGTAGAATGGGGTTGCTTCATGATCTCATTATCTGACATTTATAGTGCCAACAAGTAATGACAACGAAAAGTAATTTGATAACAAAAGTAACAGTCAATAGTAATATCTACCTATTTCTATTCAGCAAACACGAGGTGTTACTTTATTTCTTTATTAACGTACAAGCTGACGTTTCGGCGGATTTCGTCTTCCTCAGAGCCTGGAAAGGTCAAGTTGACTACAACCTACTCGGCCAAACACCTCCATAACCAATTTCAATCACACTGAACACAGAGTCATTGCACATTCACCGCTTTCTATGAGTTTTCCACTCAAAATATCACTTGGAGACCAACCGCATAGAGTTCACACGGAATCGTATTTTATGCCCATCTCATCAAACTAACAGGCTTATATACTGCCCAATGTCACGCGTGATAATGAGGGATTCCTCCCTGCGGTTCATTTTCGGATTCTTGGAATTAATCTAGAATGCCTCTAGAGTTTTGCGCGCTTGTGTTCTCGATTCTTGCGCGAGGATCGTAACCCTTACTTCAAAACCTTCTCCGTTATGTCTCTGCGTTCTATGCGTGCCTAGTGGAGTAATTGCTTTATCTTTGCCGACTAGGTGTTCTTTTATA